ATAGATGAGGGTAATGTATTTAGGGACAGCTGGAACGTATGATGAAGGAAATTAAAGATGGAATGCCGAGTGAATGGTTAAAAATGATTGAAGTGAGATTGTTATAGGAAAGGAGAGTGTGGTTGATTTATATGTGGGGAAAGAGGATGGTCAATGTTAAAATGGAAATGTTAAAACAAAAAATATATACAAATGGTTAAAAGGGGATGTTATTAGAAGACCCTGCATCAGAGAGAGTATGGACGAGTGTTGTGAAAGGTCTTACTGGAAGAAGAATGTGGGAGAATGTGAAAATGGAACAGTATTGAATGTGAGCACTTTGATTTTTGTTGGGGCATACAGTAATAGGTGTTTAACAACCTGATCATCAGTCATTTTTATGCATCTGTTGAGAGAGAGTGTGATGTTTGTAAAGACCAGGTTGAAACATGTTTGCATGAGTTTGTTGAATGTAGAGAACTTGTTGTGTTTTTTGGAAGGATGAAAGAGTTAGTTAGTAGATGTTGGAGTGAATGGTATGTGAGAGAAATGGAATGGAAGGAGCTGTGGCTGTTTGGTGTGACTGAGAAGAAGGATGAATGCAATGTGAATCTATTAAACTATGTTCTGAGCCATGCCGGGCGCGCGGTAAAGATAAGGCGGAACATTGCCCATTTTGAGGGTAAAAAGGCTGACGTGTGGCACATAATGAAGAGGACAACAAAAAGGGATGTAAACCTTGTTTTCATACACATAAAAAATGACATATTTTGTGAGGACTTTATAAATGGCAGCTCATTCGTTGAGATGGATGAGGAGGGAGCTCTGTGCTTCAATTTGGAAAAATAAAGCAAGGGACGATATTTATTTATTTTTCAGTGGAAAGGAAAAATGAAGAAGACGGGTTATGTTTTGTATTGATTGGTTTCATTTGTTTGTTCATTAGTTTGAGTTTGGTTTGGTTATCTGGTTTATTTGTTTACATCATTTTATGTCTGTGTTTCATACGAATATGAAACTATTATGATGTAAATGTGTCTGAGTTGTATGCTATAAATACTTTATGTAAATTGTGATGAGCTGTTAAATGTCTATTTTTTGATAATACATTTTTTTTTTTTTTAAAACAGGTTCAAACCCCACTGCAGCATGTCGTTGTGTCCCTGAGACACTTCACCCCAAAGTGCTCATGTGGGGATTGTCCTCAGTGTTGAGTTTGTGAGTCGCTTTGGATAAAAGCGTCTGACAAGTAACATGTGATGTCATGTGTTGTTTGGAGCTGGTGAATTAGGGTTTGTTTAATTTAATTTAGGTAATTTACAGTGACATCCTCTCAAACAAACACACAGACAGGAAAACTAGGCTGTAAAGTTTGTTAAGTGTTTCTTTATTTCACTTTTGTGAAAAATCTAAAAAAGATAAACATAAGGTCATTGAAATCCAAAACACATCAGCTGTTAAAGTTTTACATTCACATCACATGTAGTCAATACAACTATCACTGCTGTTTCTTCCACACGTCATCACTGAGAGAAACACAAACACCATAAACAATGTGAATCTGAAGAAAAACACAACATGTAAATAAAACAGCAGGAGTCCAGGAGTGGCCTGCTAATGGACTACATTTCCCAGAATGCTTTCAGTGTTATGCGACTCCACAAGAAAGGTGTTGGGTTAGCTGTGCTGATAAAAAAAGGAAATAATTGGAAAAGAGAGACTGTAATAAACATTTATCTCCGTATAATTAACAACAGTAAGAAAAGATATTACAATTATTATTTTATTATTATTACTTCAGAATAAAAACGGTGGGTCTGAATTCACAAAGTCAGAAAACATCAGCCTCAGAAAAAAACATCATCAAAATGTGAAGTATTATTCACATAATAAACTCAAAAGATCTCCGTGTCTCTTTTTGTGAAGGACAGTGTCTATTTTTGTGAAGGACAGTGTCTCTTTTTGTGAAGGACAGTGTCTCTTTTGTGAAGGACAGTGTCTCTTATTGTGAAGGACAGTGTCTCTTTTTGTGAAGGACAGTGTCTCTTATTGTGAAGGACAGTGTCTCTTATTGTGAAGGACAGTGTCTCTTTTTGTGAAGGACAGTGTCTCTTTTTGTGAAGGACAGTGTCTCTTATTGTGAAGGATAGTGTCTCTTATTGTGAAGGACATTGTCTCTTTTTGTGAAGGACAGTGTCTCTTATTGTGAAGGGCAGTGTCTCTTATTGTGAAGGACAGTGTCTCTTTTTGTGAAGGGCAGTGTCTCTTATTGTGAAGGACAGTGTCTCTTTTTGTGAAGGACAGTGTCTCTTATTGTGAAGGACAGTGTCTCTTTTTGTGAAGGACAGTGTCTCTTATTGTGAAGGACAGTGTCTCTTTTTGTGAAGGACAGTGTCTCTTATTGTGAAGGACAGTGTCTCTTTTTGTGAAGGACAGTGTCTCTTATTGTGAAGGACAGTGCTCTTTTTGTGAAGGACAGTGTCTCTTATTGTGAAGGACAGTGTCTCTTTTTGTGAAGGACAGTGTCTCTTATTGTGAAGGACAGTGTCTCTTTTTGTGAAGGACAGTGTCTCTTTTTGTGAAGGACAGTGTCTCTTATTGTGAAGGACAGTGTCTCTTTTTGTGAAGGACAGTGTTTAATTTATCTGTGCTCACTACCTAAAAAGCCTGAATCAAACCTGATCTTCATTTCAAGAAAGAAGCAAAAGATCTCAGAAGAGTTTCAGAAACGCTCCAGAGTTATCTTGAGGTTCTCTTCAGGGTGTAATGTATTGTTAAATGTCTGCTTCCGTGTATCGTGTCTATGACTATTATTCATCCGAGATGATGATTCAAATCGAGCTGACTCCATTTGCCAATTAAATATTATTGGTATGTTTAGCCTACAGCTTAGCACAAAGAAGCACAGGGAAATCCTAAGCTAGTTTGGCACAAAGAAGCAGAGGGAAACTGCTAGCCTAGATTGCCATTCAAAAAGGGGGAAATGCTAAGCTGGCTTATCACAAAAAGTGGAAGCAGAGGGAAACTGCTAGCCTAGATTGCCATTCAAAAAGGGGGAAATGCTAAGCTGGCTTATCACAAAAGTGGCAAGCAGGGGGAAACTGCTAGCTTAAGCATCCGAAGTGGAAGCAGGAGACACTGCTAGCCATTAGAATCTACCGGAAGATAAATATTGGGTTGATTTCCACAATGTGAATATTAGAGCAGTGTGTGTAGCGTGGGCCATTTTATTACTGGAGTAGCAGTTGGGTTAGGGTTAGGGGTAGCAGTTGGCAGGTTCTAGTCCTTGGCTGTTCCTGTGTTTAGTTACCGTATGATGTCGTTCCTGTGTTAGTTCCCGTATGATGTGTTCACTGTGTTAGTTACCGTATGATGTGTTCCTGGTGTTTAGTTAACCCGTATGATGTGTTCCCTGTGTTAGTTCACTGTGTGATTTTCCTGTTGTTAGTTACCTGTGTGAGTTGATGTGTTCCTGTGTAGTTACCTGTATGATGTGTTCCTGTGTTAGTTACCGTATGATGTGTTCTGTGTTAGTTACGGTATGATGTGTTCCTGTGTTAGTTACCGTATGATGTGTTCCTGTGTTGTTTACCGTATGATGTGTTCCTGTGTTAGTTACCGTATGATGTGTTCCTGTGTTAGTTACCGTATGATGTGTTCCTGTGTTAGTTACCGTATGATGTGTTCCTGTGTTAGTTACCGTATGATGTGTTCCTGTGTTAGTTACTGTGTGATGTGTTCCTGTGTTAGTTACTGTGTGATGTGTTCCTGTGTTAGTTACCTGTATGATGTGTTCCTGTGTTAGTTACCGTATGATGTGTTCCTGTGTTAGTTACCGATGATGTGTTCCTGTGTTAGTTACCGTATGATGTGTTTCCTGTGTTAGTTACCGTATGATGTGTTCCTGTGTAGTTACCGTATGATGTGTTCCTGTGTTAGTTACCGTATGATGTGTTCCTGTGTTAGTTACTGTATGATGTGTTCCTGTGTTAGTTACCGTATGATGTGTTCCTGTGTTAGTTACAGTATGATGTGTTCCTGTGTTAGTTACCGTATGATGTGTTCCTGTGTTAGTTACCGTATGATGTGTTCCTGTGTTAGTTACCGTATGATGTGTTCCTGTGTTAGTTACTGTGTGATGTGTTCCTGTGTTAGTTACCGTATGATGTGTTCCTGTGTTAGTTACTGTATGATGTGTTCCTGTGTTAGTTACCGTATGATGTGTTAGTTACCGTATGATGTGTTCCTGTGTTAGTTACCGTATGATGTGTTCCTGTGTTAGTTACCGTATGATGTGTTCCTGTGTTAGTTACCGTATGATGTGTTCCTGTGTTAGTTACAGTATGTGTTCCTGTGTTAGTTACTGTATGATGTGTTCCTGTGTTAGTTACTGTATGATGTGTTCCTGTGTTAGTTACTGTATGTGTTCCTGTGTTAGTTACTGTATGATGTGTTCCTGTGTTAGTTACTGTATGATGTGTTCCTGTGTTAGTTACTGTATGATGTGTTCCTGTGTTAGTTACTGTATGATGTGTTCCTGTGTTAGTTACAGTATGTGTTCCTGTGTTAGTTACTGTATGATGTGTTCCTGTGTTAGTTACTGTATGATGTGTTCCTGTGTTAGTTACAGTATGTGTTCCTGTGTTAGTTACCGTGTGATGTGTTCCTGTGTTAGTTACTGTATGATGTGTTCCTGTGTTAGTTACTGTATGATGTGTTCCTGTGTTAGTTACTGTATGATGTGTTCCTGTGTTAGTTACCGTATGATGTGTTCCTGTGTTAGTTACCGTATGATGTGTTCCTGTGTTAGTTACCGTATGATGTGTTCCTGTGTTAGTTACCGTATGATGTGTTCCTGTGTTAGTTACTGTATGATGTGTTCCTGTGTTAGTTACCGTATGATGTGTTCCTGTGTTAGTTACAGTATGATGTGTTCCTGTGTTAGTTACCGTATGATGTGTTCCTGTGTTAGTTACCGTATGATGTGTTCCTGTGTTAGTTACCGTATGATGTGTTCCTGTGTTAGTTACAGTATGATGTGTTCCTGTGTTAGTTACTGTATGATGTGTTCCTGTGTTAGTTACAGTATGATGTGTTCCTGTGTTAGTTACTGTATGATGTGTTCCTATGTTAGTTACTGTATGATGTGTTCCTGTGTTAGTTACCGTGTGATGTGTTCCTGTGTTAGTTACTGTGTGATGTGTTCCTGTGTTAGTTACAGTATGATGTGTTCCTGTGTTAGTTACAGTATGATGTGTTCCTGTGTTAGTTACAGTATGATGTGTCCCTGTGTTAGTTACTGTATGATGTGTTCCTGTGTTAGTTACTGTATGATGTGTTCCTGTGTTAGTTACCGTATGATGTGGTCCTGTGTTAGTTACAGTATGATGTGTTCCTGTGTTAGTTACCGTATGATGTGGTCCTGTGTTAGTTACTGTATGATGTGTTCCTGTGTTAGTTACCGTATGATGTGTTCCTGTGTTAGTTACCGTATGATGTGGTCCTGTGTTAGTTACCGTATGATGTGTTCCTGTGTTAGTTACTGTATGATGTGGGCCTGTGTGTGTTACTGTGAATTGGCTGGTGAACCCTCTTCTTTCTTTCTTTCTTTCTACAATTAAACATTATCTACACATTTTGCCAACTCAGTTTCCTCTCTCTTATTTCCCTCCCGGTTATTTTTACATTTTGTTACTTCCCTTCGTACCCCTAGTTTATGAGGGAACGTAACAGATGTGTTCCTGTGTTATTGTGGTTACTGTATGATGTGGTGCAGTGTGACATTGTAAAGGACTTGATGGCCGTTGTTCCAGGCGTACAGTGCTCTGTCTCGCGGGTTGTAGTCCAGCATGGACAGATGACTGTATTTGTTTGTCAGAGGAATGTCGATGTACTCGTAGGTGGAGGAGTTGGTGGAGTAGGCGTAGTACACTTTGGTTCCTCCTGAATACCCGTTAGTGACGTACAGCATCCCGCAGATCATGAAGGCCTCCCCGGCGCTGCGTTTAGGATGGTTGGTGGTCCAGCTGCGGACGATCTGCAGAGTGTTTGGGTTCAACTGGCTGAGGACGATGTTTCCGGCGTTCTGGTTAGTGGCGTAGACGGCCCAGAGCCCCCCTTCATCCACCATGAGGTCGATGTCAGAGTGCCCCCCCCAGGCATAATGGTACATGTTGTTGTAGCCGGCAAAGTCAAGCTGCCGGGAGCGGCTGATGAGCGACGTGCTGAAGTCAAACTTGATGATGGTGTGACTCTGGAACTTGTTGAAGTAGATGGAGCCATTGTACACCACCTGGCCGGTGCCTGACCACGGGTGAGGCAGGCGGTGCGACGTGAAGTTATCCGTCGTCATGAAGTCGTACATCGAGGGGTACTCCCGGACGAAGCGGTTGTTGTGATAACCGTCCATGTACCACACCTACGGAAGAAACCATACCCGAGAAAGGTGTTATGTCTTAATATTTAATATATTATGATTTCATATTTTATATACTGATTTCATATTTATATATTATGATCTAATATTGATTAGGATTTAAATATATATATTATAATTTCATATTTACTTTAATATGATTTAATATTATATCATATATAATATGATATAATATGCATATCCACTATGGGAAAACAGTACCTTAGTCTGTCTACACAACAAACCACAATTTAAACCCAAGCAGCAGATAGTCCTAAACCATTGCATCCTACATTTCCCACAATGCACCTGAATGGTGTATTTCATTAAAGTAGACCCAAATACCAACAGATCAACTCTCCTATCAGTGTTCAGTGTTCTGCAACCGTCCAGCATGTGGACGTACTCGCAGCTGAGGCCTGTACTACGAAGCAGGATGTTTTCTTAGCGGCTAACTTCAGGGAAAACTCGGGTTTTCCGGTCCTACGAAGCTGGTTCTCTTTTTAGCGGCTAGATCTCCATGGTAACTGATGCTGAGCTGCAAACATGCCCCGGAGCAGGTTAGGTTGCAGGCTAAGAGATCAACTCAGTGAAAGCACCGCCAGCTGATCAATCAGAGCTCCGTGTGCGGAGTTTAAAGCGATCAAGTCATATTACAGGAGAAAGGAAATACAGAAAAGCTGCCGTTGCAGGAAAGACGGCCAGCAAAAATCACTGACTGTGTGAACATGAATAGAATATCACCTCCATCTTCAGAGCAATCTGACTATTATAACATTAGCGTTAAGAAAGCTTACTGAAATATCTGCCACAACATAAGTAACCGGATCAGAGTCACATTAAGTACAGTCCATATCACTTCATAATGTATCATATATCTCCTGATCTGAGTCAGCTGAGCCGTATCTGGCCGTGCAACACTCACAGCGTCACAGACTGGATGCAGAAGGATTATTTTAAGCAACACATTAAGTTGAGGAAACACTGGAGTCAAATGTAATGAAAGTCAGATGGTGTCTTAGACGGGCAGTGATATCATAAAGCTGTTAATGTACGCATTCAAACACTTGTTCTGTTCCCAGCTGTGTTCACCTTGCAGGTGCAGCTCTATGGCTTTGATCCTGGATCAAGTGTTTAAGTCATGGATGTTTAAACTTTAACTTCTTCATATATCTAATATTATAGTTGACTTTTCATTCAGGAAGTATGACGCTGCGCTGTCAGTGCGCTTCTCCATGTCTGTGATTGGTCGAATGCTCCAGATACCACCCCTTTCATGTGAACGCGCACCTAGCTAGAGAGGACACGGCTGGCTTGAGCGATCCACTTGATAACCCGCGTCGTAGGACCGCTTAGCAAGAGCGCGTATGTTTTGGATTAGGTAAGCCGGGTAACTCAAACATATCCAGGTTATGTTGAACCAGCTTCGTAGTACAGGCCTCTGGATGATGTTGTGTTGTTATTGTGTTGTTGTTGTCGTGACATTGTGCTATTGACGTTGTATTGTTGTGACATTGTGTTGTCGTGACATTGTGTTGTTGTGACATTGTGTTGTTATAGTCGTGACATTTTTGTTCTTGTGACATTGTGTTTTTGTTGTTACGTTTTAGTTGTTGTGACATTGGGTTGTTATTGTCGTGACATTGGGCCTTTCTCATTTCTCTAATTTCCCCTCCTCGTCTCCTCGGTCCTCCGGTAGTGACCCGGAAATGAATTTCAGCGCGCCATGTTGAAGGACATCTCATTTCTCTAAATGCACGAGGACCGAGCATCGGGCGTCGAGGAGTCTCTCTGGAGGAGCTCTAACCGAGGAGAGAGGAGAGGGGAGGCTCTCTGGAGGAGCTCTAACCGAGGAGAGAGGAGAGAGGAGGCTCTCTGGAGGAGCTCTAACCGAGGAGAGAGGAGGCTCTCTGGAGGAGCTCTAACCGAGGAGAGAGGAGGCTCTCTGGAGGAGATCTAACCGAGGAGAGAGGAGAGAGGAAGGAGGAGAGAGGAAGGAGGCTCTCTGGAGGAGCTCTAACCGAGGAGAGAGGAGAGAGGAAGGAGGCTCTCTGGAGGAGCTCTAACCGAGGAGAGAGGAGAGAGGAGGCTCTCTGGAGGAGCTCTAACCGAGGAGAGAGGAGGCTCTCTGGAGGAGCTCTAACCGAGGATCGAGGAGAGAAGAGAGAGGAGGCTCTTTGGAGGAGCTCTAACCGAGGAGAGAGGAGAAAGGAGAGAGGAGAGAGGAGGCTCTCTGGAGGAGCTCTAACCGAGGAGACACTGATGGCTCCTCCTCGGCTCCTTCGTGGATGCATTTCCGGGAACAGAGATGTTTCAAAGAGTCGTGACGCACGGCCGGACTGATCTCAGCCAATCACAGCTCTGCATGCATCCCCTGGATATTATTGTAGAAACTGCTCTCATCGTGAGGCGATGTTTCCAGAGAGAACAGCTGAGAGGTCCGTGCAGAAAGCAGAGCAGTGTGTATCATAGATATCACTCAGTAGAACAGGCCGACTCTCTTTGCTTTAGTTTAGTAGATATCTACAAACAAAGAGTCCAGATGTTTCTAAGAGCATTTAGTGCTTCACCAAATAAAATACACAACGGCTGCAGCCTGATGATGCTTTAGGAGCTGCAGGTGTGTGTGGTACAGTGTGTAGGTGTGTGTGTGTGTGTGTGTGTGTGTGTGTGGTACAGTGTGTAGGTGTGTGTGTGTGTGTGGTACAGTGTGTAGGTGTGTGTGGTACAGTGTGTGTGTGTGTGGTACAGTGTGTGTGTGCGCGTAGATGCAGCGGACAGACGGGTCTCAGTTGGTTTGGTGTCCTCTGCTTACTTTTAATACTTGTAAATAAAACTTTTGGCCCGTAATTTCAATTCCCCATTTCAGCGACCAGAGAGAGGGGGGGGGGGAGATATCCAGTCTCTGATTGTGTTACGTTATTATGAGAGTGCTCTCATACTTGTTTGATTCTGAAATTGTATATATTTATTAGGGCTGTCAAACGATTAACATTTTTAATCAGATTAATCACAGCTTAAACATTTATTAATCATGATTAATCATCATTCGAACTATGTCCAAAATATGCCATTTATTTATGTATATTGTTGTGGGAATGGAAAGATAAATGAAAGAAGGCGGATATAGGCATTTAACATACAGTATCTATGTTTATTATAACATTTTTCTGAGTGTCAAAATGAAAGACAGCCCACACACCTATCAATCATCAAACCGTGGGGTCTTAATTCATTACGTGTTGATTTCTATCAACGGGGGAGTACTTCAGGAAAGTCGACAGGGCGGCTAGTGGAGTACTTTGTGACCACAGAGTATGAACGTTGTGATCAGCTGTTTTAGCGCAGTTCTCCAGTGAAGGGGGGGAGTCTCCCTCCGCAGCCGGTTGGCGTAGTTTTGGCACAATTCCGTTGTACAGACCGACGTTAACAGCAGCCCTGTCTGTGCACACGGAGACCGACTCTGTCGTCCGGTGATCTAACCGCCTTCTGGAAAAGCTTCACAAGTACGTCGGTACGCAAATGCGCTTTGTGACACAAGTGACGGTACGCATTTCAGATTACGCACATAACCTGCGTACCAGTTATGTGTTACCTGTACTACAGCAAAAGTATTCTCCGTCGGGACTTCCTGCAACAACACCACGCCGTTATCAAAGATGTTCTATTGAGAAGACGATCACTACGTGACAAAAGTTTTCAAAACCGTGGCTACTGAAATCAATCTTACTAACTGCTGTCTGTGCAATTTACTCCGCGAGTTGGCAGTCTTTATTTTGCTTACTTTAACATCATTGTTCATGGTGGGGCTAAGCCATTTCTTGGTATGGGTGTAGCCTTCCCCAGCCATACCCTGGCGCTGCCACTGGTGGCACGTATGGGGCGGGCCATTCTGCACATGCGTTAAATGCGTTAAATATTTTAACGCAATTAATTAAAAAAATTAATTACCGCCGTTAACGCGATAATTTTGACAGCACTAATATTTATATAAATATATATGTGTGTGTGTGTGTATGTGTGTCCGCATCTGTAGCCTGTTATTGTCTCATTATACCGCACTGTGAATGAATCAAAGTAAATATATAAGTGGTCATGAACACATCTGTTCATCAGACAGAGGGCTGCTGTGCCTCCTGTCATCATTAATGGACGTCTCTTTCAAATGACCGCTCAGAGGAGAGGAGTTCTCATTTCTCTAACCGCCTGCTGCTTCCCCTCCTCTCTCCTCGGTTCCCCTCCTCTCTCCTTGGCTCCCCTCCTCGACTCCGCCGGTCGCATCTCCTGTGGGCGGGACTAAGACACGAGGATAGGAGTCGAGGAGGGGAGTTAGTGAAATGAGAAAGGACTCTATTTAGTTTCCAGGCTGCGATTTCCCTCCTTTGGGTAGATAAATGAGGACATGCATCATAACACACTAACCACACTACACTTAACTAAATGGATGTCATCAAGTGTGAGTGTCTCCAGGAACCAAGTAACTAAATAAGGAACTGTGAGTCCCCACAAACAGAAGGAGGGAAAGCCTGAACTGCCACTTCACCAGTGACATTTGAGAGTGCTGATGTCTACACTTTAAAAAATAACACGTTGACGTTGTGTTGTTGTCGTGACATTGTGTGGTTGTTGTCGTGACATTGTGTTGTTGTTGTTGTGACATTGTGTGGTTGTTGTTGTGACATTGTGTTGTGGTTTTTGTGACATTGTGTTGTTGTTGTCGTGATATTGTGTTGTTGTTGTTGTCGTGACATTGTGTTGTTGACGTTATGTTGTTTTTTTCGTGGTGTTGTTGTTGTTGTTGTGACGTTGTTGTGTTGTTGTTATTGTGACATTGTGTTGTAGATGGGACTCACTCTGTTGTCTCCAGCTGCAGCCAGCGGGTCAGTCATCCACGATCCGAACCTGGATCCAGACGTCTTGATTGTGACCGGCTCAGAAATTCCTGTCAGCTTCCCGCAGGCTGAAAAGCAACAGGACGGCATGAACAGCTGCACACACTGATGTGTTCCCGTAAGCAACGCATTTATTAGAACTGTATGATGCACTAATGATTTGCTAAAACCGAGATGATTATGATGAAAAAGTAATGACTCAAAAACACTGGAGGAAGACTCCTGAGAGATCACTGTTACTGAATACAGGATGTTGAGAGTCAGGCAGGAGAGCAGGGATGACCTGCGAAGGGTCCTGGGTCGGACTGGACCGCTGTGGTTCGGACTGCCCAGTTTGGACTCACCCAGCTGAGCTACCCAGAAGAAGGGTTTTGGTCTGTTGGTTGTATTGTGTTTGCTCACCCAGCCTCTGCATGCAGGCCCTCAGCCGCTCCTCCAGGTCCAGGACTCGGCTGTGGACTTCCTGGTAGTCAACACCTCCCAGCTGCTCCTGCAGTGATCCCAGCAGCTCCGTCACGTTCGCCGCCTCCTCCTTAAACTGTCGCACCAGCAGAGCGTCCGCCTTGTAGGCTTCTAGGACCGGGATGAGGGGACGTAACTCCTCCATCTTAGCTTTGATGGACTGATGGACAAACAGGAGATCAATAACCGTTGGTTAACTCTCCATTAGTTGTAAATGTTCCCATAGTTCACTGCAACAAAAGGGTTTGGGTTATAGCATGGCATAACATAGCATAGCATAGCTGGAGCGGTGTGTTAGCAGAGCCGCAGAGCCGCAGCGTCAACACGTACATTAATGAAGGACAAATACAACAATCCATCACTTCAGTTAGTTCCATGCAATTAAAGAAATGTGTTAGGCACTTGTGCATATTTCACATTTTATTGTTTTCATAAAGCTCATGATGCTGTGCATGCTGGGATCTTTTAGGGTACCATTAAACTTCTTCTGATTTTTCTAATCTAAGGTCCGCTGTGATCTAATGGACCAATGAGCATGTGTTTGGGTTAATAACTAATTGACAGGGATATTAGTTAAATTACAAGAAGAAAGTGCTATTTTACATTAACACACCTCAAAGGTTTCAGATTATTGGTGAAATGTAAACCTGGTACTGTATGGCCCTTGGGTTTTGGGTTAGGGCACCTGGTACTGTATGGCCCTTGGGTTTTGGGTTAGGGCACCTGGTACTGTATGGCTCTGGGGTTTTGGGTTAGGGCACCTGGTACTGTATGGCTCTGGGGTTTTGGGTTAGGGCACCTGGTACTGTATGGCTCTGGGGTTTTGGGTTAGGGCACCTGGTACTGTATGGCCCTTGGGTTTTGGGTTAGGGCACCTGGTACTGTATGGCCCTTGGGTTTTGGGTTAGGGCACCTGGTACTGTATGGCTCTGGGGTTTTGGGTTAGGGCACCTGGTACTGTATGGCTCTGGGGTTTTGGGTTAGGGCACCTGGTACTGTATGGCTCTGGGGTTTTGGGTTAGGGCACCTGGTACTGTATGGCTCTGGGGTTTTGGGTTAGGGCACCTGGTACTGTATGGCCCTTGGGTTTTGGGTTAGGGCACCTGGTACTGTATGGCTCTGGGGTTTTGGGTTAGGGCACCTGGTACTGTATGGCTCTGGGGTTTTGGGTTAGGGCAGTGTATCCATAGATCTCTCCATGTTGCTCTCAAAGTGCACCAGATTGATGCTTTTACCTTCAATATTAAAAAAAACCTTCCCGGGGGAGCATGCCCCTGGACCCCACTAGAAAATGTGAGGTCCGCCCCCCACTTGTAAAAATAGCACTTTACCCCTGCTTACACCTATATGCCATGAGCTGATTATCGAGCCTTTATTGTAACAGTTGTGTGTGTGTGTGTGTGTGTGTGTGTGTGTGTGTGTGTGTGTGTGTGTGTGTGTGTGTGTGTGTGTGTGTGTGTGTGTGTGTGTGTGTGTGTGTGTGTGTGTGTGTGTGTGTGTGTGTGTGTGTGTGTGTGTGTGTGTGTGTGTGTGTGTGTGTGTGTGTGTGTGTGTGTGTGTGTGTGTGTGTGTGTGTGTTGAGTGTTGCAGTAGAACATTCCACTGTAGCGCCCGGTACATTAATGGGAAACCCTACATGTTTGAACAGCCTCTATGAAACGTCAAGCTACCCCACAGCACCCCCAAATGAAATCTCTGGCGCCGCCACTGAGCCTGCGACCCCGTTCTGAAGAACTGTGCAGTGCAACACAGGCTCATTGCAGACACTCATGCTAAGACACACTTTTCTGCCAAATATCAGCATTTTCTTTGCAAAGTGGTATTATAACTTACTGTTCTAGCAAAGGGATTGCACCATTGTAATATGTATTCATTTTTTTGAGCACACAGACTTATGGAGCATTGTTTTATTATCACTGTTCTAGCAAAGTGATTTTTTGATTTTCTTTTGGGTTTTGGGTTAGGGTACCTGGTACTGTTTGGCCCAGTTGCTCTCGTGTCCGTCCTCCACCTGTTGGAATTTGGTTTCCAGACCCTTCAGCTGAACCTCCATTTTCTCCACAAACTGCAGATCTCTCTGAGTCCGCCGGTCCAGAACCTCAATGGACTGACTCATATTCTGAACCTGGAACACAACACATACTATATTACTACTTCTACTACTACTACTACTACTACTACTACTTCTACTAACACTACTACCAATACTCCTCTTGCTGGTACTACTAACGTAGAGATGACACCAACCAGTGGCGAATATTGATATGGGCGACATAGGCGGTTGCCCAGGGTGTCATTTTGACTGGGGCACAAGCGCAATGAAAAGTATTTTTTTATCGCAAATTTGCACGTAATTTTATATTGCGTATTGTTGTTGTGATTGTGGTTCGAAGGGGGTGCGGCCGATAGCAGGCAGCTGGAATGGAAGGTCTCGCACTGAAAGAAGGGCGGGGGGATCTCAGGTCGCCTCACTATGGGGGAGAGAGAGGGCGGCGGCGGGTACACTATGTCTATCAAATAAACACTTTCGATGTTTATAAAGTAGTACTGCAGTTAGTCAAATGAATCTCACTCCTCGAAATGCCACAAAATTCGTTCATACAATATAAATCTTTTTGCAGATATATTTTCTTCCTGGCCTGGGTTGTATGAAACAATAAAGAATTATTTAAAAACGGACTACGGCAAATTAGTATAGTCTTGACCTGTTGACAGTGTTGGGGGAGGGGTACGCTATGCATTGATTCTTGGGTTCAAATTATTATTATGGTGATGGAGAAAAAAAGGCACAAGGCATCAGGGGCCCAGTTTAGAAAGAAAAGGAAAGAAGAAGAAGAGATACTCAAAAGATAAAGGTATGTTTGCACCTGTAACATCTCATTTATTTAGTTGCACTATACGGTATTAACCATATCATTAAATGATGCCGGTAACCTTAACTCCATTGCTGCTTGTTTGATGCCTGTGTTTTGTCGTAGTATAATAAGTAATATTTGTAGTAGTATTATAAGTAATGTTTGTAGTTGTATCATTAGTATTATAAGCAGTGGGAGTAAGTCATACATGTGCAAGTCATGAGCAAGTCTCAAGTCTTAACCTACAAGTCACAAGCAAGTACCAAGTCACTGTGGTGAGAGTCAAGCAAGTCAAGTCATTGCTCAGGTCAAGCAAGTCAAGTCAAGTCATACGAAATTCTGATGAATAACCCCAGTTTCCGCATTTAAATCAGTTCAAATATTATGGTTATGAAAAGTTTTTTGTTTTATTCAACATAAACAGCAATGGAGAGTGGGACGCTGAAGATATAACCCTATAAGTTCTAAAGGGCTCTAAAGTGAAAACAGGAGTACAACACAAATATTGTACATCAACATGTGAAGCCTCCTGCCCTGGCTCCCCTTCAGCAGGGTCACAGCATGTCTCCTGTCTAAGGTGCTCCCATATGACACTGTCTCACTGTTTTCCTAACTGTGTCTGTGCACAAAGAAATATTGCATCAAAGCCAATACAACGGAATAGTGTATGTACCAGGGCGCATTGTGTGTGTGTGTGTGTGTGTTTGTTTGCAGACAGTGCAACATTAAGATTAAACGAATGTATTCCGGATGTGAGAGGACGCTGGCGTCGTTTGCTCGCCGCTTCTCTGTCTGGATTTCTTTTACTCTTTTCTACTCTTTCCTCAACATTTCTTAGCAGCTTTTTGGCCGACCAGTCCGGTTAAGATCTATGTCAATCTTCCACTGCCTGGATCACTGAGATGTGTGAAAGTGTCCATGTTTTCCTACCTGAAAACACCGGCTCCGTTTCGCCGCTCCACCTGCTCTCCTTCTGATCCTCCCGGCTTCACCTGCCTAGCTCCTCCAACGCTGCCTCCACCCCATTCCCGGACTTTTCAAAACGTGTCCTGCCTTTGGCTGGCCTGGACCCCTCTTCCGTGGACTACCTGGAGCTAGCTGCCTGCATCTCTGCAGTCATCAAGCTGCAGGATACCCGCTAGCTGGTAATGCTAGCGGCTGCCCGGCTCACCTGTCCACTCAACGCTCCGTCTCTCCTGCCTGGCATGGCATTGAGGTACTCCGCTGCGATACTTCTACAACTCAACAACCATTCCACACCGTTATGCATCTCTGCCATCAAAAACCACAAACTTCTAAAACCAACCAGATACATCCATAGAGGCTCCGGTCGCAAGTTTGTTTACTTTCACACAGGTGAACCTCTATGAAACTTTTCCGGATTCCGCTCAAACCACAGTACCGAAACCGCACTCCTCAAAATTACAAATGACCTTCTCCTCTCCTCCGATGCTGGTAACCTCAACATCCTCATCCTCCTTGACCTCAGCGCTGCCTTTCGACACCATCAATCACTCCATCCTCCTCACCCGTCTTGAAACCACCTTCAACATCACCGGCACTGCCCTCTCTTGGTTCACTTCATACCTCTCTGACATAAACCAGTTCATCTACATCAATAACTGCAAATCCCCCACCGTTCCTCTCCCCCAAGGAGTCCCTCAAGGTTCAGTTCTTGGCCCCCTCCTCTTCATCCTTTACCTGCTTCCCCTTGGTCACATAATCCGCCGTCATGGACTTCAATTCCACTGCTTTGCCGACGACATCCAGCTTCTCATCTCCACCAAGTCCATCTCCACTGCTACCCACTCCATCCTGACAAACTGCATCACTGAAATAAAATCCTGGCTCCAACTCAACTTCCTGAAACTCAACTGCGATAAATCTGAAATAATAATCATTGGACAAAACAAGCTCACCACACCTATCCATAACTTCACCCTCAACATAGACGGCTTCCCAGTTCAAACCTCCCCTCACATCCGGAACCTAGGCATCCTATTTGACCAAACCCTCTCCTACAACAAATACATCAAACAGATCACAAAGACAGCCTTCTTCCACCTCAAAAACATCGCCCGTCTACGTCCATCCCTCTCTCCCACTGCTGCCGAAACCCTCATCCACGCCTTCATCACCTCCCGTCTAGATTATTGCAACAGCCTCCTCTACGGTTCACCTGCAAAAATCCTCAAAAAACTTCAATATATCCAGAACTCCGCCGCCCGTCTACTCACCCATACCCGAATCCGTGAACACATTACACCCGTCCTCATCAAGCTCCACTGGCTCCCCATCCCCCAGAGAATTCAGTACAAGATCCTCCTGATGACGTACAAAGCCCTCCATAACCTGGCCCCATCCTACCTGACTGACCTCCTCCACGAACACACTCCCACTCGCTCCCTCCGCTCTGCTGCTGCCAACCTCCTGTCCCTCCCCACCCGGACCGACCTCAAGTCCTGGGGCGACAGAGCCTTCTCCGTTGCTGCACCCACCCTCTGGAACTCACTACCCCAATCCATCAGAGACTCTTCCTCCCTCACAGCATTCAAAACTTCACTCAAAACCCACCTGTTCAACACTGCATTCAACCACTGACCCCCCCCCCCCCCCTATTTTTTGTTCTGTTTATCTCTTTTTGTATTTCTTTGTTATCTATTTTTTGGTTTTCTCTTGTCTTTTTTTTCTCCTCTTAATTCTCTGTCAAAGCGTCTTTGAGTTTCATGAAAAGCGCTATAAAAGTCTCATGTATTATTATTATTTCATTTGGGAACACCCACATATACATATGGAGTTGGCCAGATGTGTGTAAATTACTGTTCATGGTCATTTGAAAACAAATGCTGTTGTCGGACACACACAAACACACCGAACACACACACACACACAGAGCAGAGCTGAGCAGAGCACAAACACACAAACATCATGCGCCTTAGTGACCGGACATCTCTTTCATAAAACAAGTAATAGGGGGATTCATCGGGTAGTTCGGTGTGTGTGGAGGTGTGTGTGTGGTTAAAAAGTAGCAGTTAATATATTTATTGCCCTTTAGGGGCTCCCTACAATACCAAAACAAATGCAAATATTTAATTAAAAAAAGTAAAGTCCTTTCGAGTCATCTGTCTCAAGTCAAGTCTCAAGTCATGAATATCAAGTCCAAGTCAAGTCTTTTATCAATGTTAGTCTAGCAAGTCTCAAGTCCAAAAATATGCGACTTGAGTCTGACTCGAGTCAAGTCCCTCATTAATATTATATGTTATATATGTAGTAGTATTGTAAGTAATATCTCTAGTAGTATTATCAGTAGTATTATAAGTAATATCTGTATCAGCAGTAGTGTCATTAGTTTATACCTTGGAGAATAATGACAAATAAAAAGCCCTTTAGAATGTTCCTGGTGCAGCGACCCTTACAGTGGTACTGCTTGTTTGTAGTCAACATGCAGCTCTGTTGTTGTTGTCGTCCTGAGTTGAGTCTTTATGGTTAATTTCACTTATTGTAAGTCGCTTTGGATGGAAGCCTCAGCTAAGTGCGATGTAATGTAATACCTTGTCCAGCAGGAGGCGCAGCTGCTTGGTCCGGGCGTCCCGGGAGCAGACGGTGTTCTGGGGAGCGACCACAGTACACACACATCGGCCATCAGGGTCCTGAGCTGAGCTGTACACCTGCCAGCCCTCCTCCGGGGCTGAGGGTCCCACCTGTTCATCAGAGGGCATTGATTCACTGCAGAGCTAACATCAAAGTGGAATTAATTCATCAACAAAACACAAGGACAAGCTGGATTTGAAGGAAGAGTCATTGATAGACAGAAAGTCATTGGAGAGCTTTGACATTATGAATGCAGACAGATATTCACACACAATCTTAAAGTATGAGATGGAGGAGGAAAGCGATTATGTAATACATGTGTTTCATAGGTGTCCAATTCCAAGGATGTGTTAAATGTATGTTAAATATGACTTATGTTCTATCTTCCTTTTTCAGTCCAATACTGAGTACCACAAATCAGATTAAACAAGCAATATTTAACCCTAACCCTATCGTATGGACTTGTGCCCTAATCCTAACCCTATCGTATGGACTTGTGCCCTAACCCTAACCCTATCGTATGGACTTGTGCCCTAACCCTAATCCTAACCCTATCGTATGGACTTGTGCCCTAACCCTAACTCTATCGTATGGACTTGTGCCCTAACCCTAACCCTATCGTATGGACTTGTGCCCTAACCCTATCGGATGGACTTGTGCCCTAACCCTAACGCTACCTCACCCAAGAAAAGGCTAATTCTCTGGATGCATGTTTCTTCAATAATGGTACCAGCAGACATTATGTTTCTATTACATTAACTACAAAATGTTGAGTATTCAACATTTTGTAGTTAATGTTAGGGTTAGGGTTAGGGTTAACCCTAACCCTATTCAACGAGCCACTGGGAGGCGCTGTACCGGACATTACATCGCCCACTTCCTACACGGGGGGGGGGGGGTGAGGCAGAGGTGCATGTTGGGATTGACAGTGAGGTTAGCAATACGAGGAGTTTGTTTTACGAGAAAAGCGTATTAAAATTAATGTTCTATTTTCATCAATTGAACATTAATAACTGGACTGAAAACATTTAGAAATATACAAATAATGCATAAATAAAAAAATAAAGACTGTAAATATAGATTGTATTATAATATAGTGTAATGCCACACACAGTAGAGTATAATTATACTAAGAATGATATATGAGTATATATACTATGAATGATATAGTATATGAGTATAAATACTATTAATTATATAGTATACAAGTATATCTACTATGAATTATATGAGTATATATAATATGAATGCAGGACGGTGCAGCTATAAATAGGAAGGTACTCACCACGGTGAGCAGAGATCCAAACAGCAGCAGCACGAACACATTCAGCAGGCTCTCCTCCGACTCCATCCTCCGTCACCTCCACCAGGCTATCTGTACCCAGTCTATATTTACCCAGGCTATCTGTAACCAGGCTATCTTTACCCAGTCTATATTTACTCAGGCTATCTGTACCCAGTCTATATTTACCCAGGCTATCTGTAACCAGGCTATCTTTACCCAGTCTATATTTACCCAGGCTATCTGTACCCAGTCTATATTTACCCAGGCTATCTGTAACCAGGCTATCTACTAAGCAGTCTATCTGTTCCCAGTCTGTCTGTACCCAGTCTATCTGTACCCAGGCTATCTGTAACCAGTCTATCTGCTAAGCAGGCTATCTCAAGGCTATCCGCTCACAGTCTGTTGTATATGCTTCTTCCTGCTCTTCCTCCTCCTCCCCCCTCCTGTCTGTCTTTATTTTCTGGTGTGTGTGTGTGTGTGAGGATGCTCACCCAGCGTCTTCACAGCAGCTTATGTCACCACAGCGGTATGAAGCTGATTCCAGGTTAGTCTTCATGAATGCGTTGAATGTATGCAGAAATAACAACAAGATGGATGTAACGATGGTCCTGGTTAGTATACATGGTACTGGTGAGTATAATGCTACTGGTCAGTATAATGGTCCCGTTATTATAATGGTCCTGGTTAGTGGAAATTGTCCTGGTTAGTATAATGGTCCCGTTAATATAATGGTACTGGTTAGTGTAATGGTACTGGTTGGTATAATGGTACTGGTGAGTATAATGGTACTGGTTAGTGTAACGGTACTGGTTAGTGGAAATGGTCCTGGTTAGTATAATGCTACTGGTTAGTATAATGGTACTGGTTAGTATAATGGTCCCATTATTATAATGGTACTGGTGAGTATAATGGTACTGGTTAGTGGAAATGGTCCTGGTTAGTATAATGCTAATTGTTAGTATAATGCTACTGGTTAGTATAATGGTCCCATTATTATAATGGTACTGGTGAGTATAATGGTACTGGTTAGTGGAAATGGGCCTGGTTAGTATAATGCTAATTGTTAGTATAATGGTCCCATTATTATAATGGTACTGGTGAGTATAATGGTACTGGTTATTGGAAATTGACCTGGTTAGTGGAAATGGTCCTGGTTAGTATAATGCTACTGGTTAGTATAATGGTCCCGTTATTATAATGGTACTGGTTAGTATAATGGTACTGGAGAGTGTAATGGTACTGGTGAGTGTAATGGTACTGTAGAGTGTAATGGTACTGGTGAGTGTAATGGTACTGGTGAGTGTAATGGCACTGGTTAGAGTAATGGTACTGGTTAGAGTAATGGTACTGGTTAGTGTAAGGGTACTGGTTAGAGTAATGGTATGGGTTGGTAGTACGCTGTCTTGATGGTCTGTAAGCAGAAACCCTGTTAGCATAAAGCAGCCCCCCCCCCCTTCCTCTCTCTGAACACACAGAGGCAGATGGGCGAGAAAATGTCCCTAAATTAATCATTTCATCTCAGGTCGTAGTCATGGAAACATGAGTGAGTGAGTGAGTGAGTGTGTGTGTGTGTGTGTGTGTGTGTGTGTGTGTGTGTGTGTGTGTGTGTGTGTGTGTAGGGTTCACACTCAGTCTGTTGGTTTCAGCAGAAATGAGGAACATTTTGTCACAGGAAGACAGAAGTGAGAATAATGAATAATGTCTCAAAGCATCTCCTGTTATAACACTGATATAATAATAATAATGTTAATACTAATAATTATGATGATAATAATATATAATAATAATGATGAACATTGAAAGATGTTCTTCATAAATCAGTATTTTCACATTTTCATTAAACGACACATGATCAGAAATCCTTTATTGTTCCCACAGCCGTCCCAGTAGCTCCTGCTGGTGCACATAGTGATGTCATAAAGAGCCTTTATCTGATGTTCTGGTGAAGAAATCTGAGGGAGATATTATCAAAATAACTAACCCGTTTCATTCATAGCATACTTTATTTTGAAAGGTTAACATACAGGAAGTTGTAGAAAAGCATGATCAGCAGTCCAAAAATAAAAAATTAGTAACTCAACATCACAGAAAATATTTAACAACAAGCAGGGGGCGGGTCTAACACTCTCTTTATGTGGGGGCGGGGCTAACACCCTCTTTATGTGGGGACAGGGCTAACACCCTCTTTATGTGGGGACGGACATGAACCTCGTAGTGTGGGGGCGGGGCTAACAACCTCTCTATGTGGGGGCGGGGCTAACACCCTCTTTATGTAGCGTGGGGTTAACACCCTCTTTATGTGGGGGCGGGGCTGACATCATCTTTATGTTGGGGTGGGGCTAACACTCTCTTTGTGTGAGGGCGGGGCTAACACTCTCTTTATGTGGGGGCTGGCCATGAACCTCTTTGTGTGGGGGCGTGCCATGAACCTCTTTGTGTGGGGGCGGGGCTAACATAATGTGGGGGCGGGGCTAACATCCTCTTTATGTGGGGGCGGGGCTAACACCCTCTTTATGTAGCGTGGGGCTAACACCCTCTTTATGTGGGGGCGGGGCTGACATCATCTTTATGTTGGGGTGGGGCTAACACTCTCTTTCTGTGGGGGCGGGGCTAACACTCTCTTTATGTGGGGGCTGGCCATGAACCTCTTTGTGTGGGGGCGGGGCTAACATAATGTGGGGGCGGGGCTAACACCCTCTTCATGTGGGGGTGAGGCTGATACATGCTTGTTAGTCCGGGTTGGGGGTAATGTTAGCATACAGGGGCAGGGCTAAAGTGAGGAGTTATAGAGGGGGGCTACCACGCGCGAATGTGTGGGAGGGGCTATCACACGCAATTCATATGGGGGCGTGGTTATTACATGGGGCAGGGCTAATTTCAGCAGATATACAGGGGGCAGGGCTAATTTCAGCAGATATACAGGGGGCGGGGCTAATGTCAGCAGGTATGCAGGGGGCGGGGCTCATTTCAGCAGATATACAGGGGGCGGGGCTAATGTCAGCAGGTATGCAGGGGTTGGGGCTAATGTCAGCAGATATACAGGGGCAGGCTACACCTGATTTATTTACACAATAAAAATTGAAATCTCTAGAGAAGGAGTTGATAGCGTTTCTACAGAAGCCTCAGATCACACACATATCCTTTAGTCCTTTATTCGGAGGAAGCATCCTCCATAATGTTGGATTAATAACACAGTTTTGCTAACATTCATTTTTTACATTTAGATTTCTCAGTTTGAATTCAAAAGGTGAAACTGATCTCATGTCAGTTAGTCAGTGAATCAGAAACGGAAACACAATGAGATAAAAAGTTAGTATTTAATCAGTTTTCTGCTGTTTGTGAATAAAGATTCCTTTTCAACTAAACGTTAATGTGTGTTTTTACATTCTGCAGGAATGAGTCCCAAAACCCTGCCAAGAGTCAGCAGATAATCTCTTCCTGTTTGGAAGTCAATGGTTTCTGAATGTGTTTTTGGTTGTTATCCTGAAATAAGGTCTGTGGTTAACACAAGCTGAAGAGACTTAAACGTTCTGTTCTACCACATAAAATACGTCAGTAAATACCCCACTGGTGACGTGAAGTCATGTGACCGTGCTGTAGTTCCTTTATAGCCCAACATTAGCCTCCTTTAGCTTAGCGGTGGTGACGTGAAGTCATGTGACCGTGCTGTAGTTCCTTTATAGCCCAACATTAGCCTTTAGCTTAGCGGTGGTGACGTGAAGTCATGTGACCGTGCTGTAGTTCATGTATAGCCCAACATTAGCCTTTAGCTTAGCGGTGGAGACGTGAAGTCATGTGACCGTGCTGTAGTTCCTTTATAGCCCAACATTAGCCTTTAGCTTAGCGGTGGAGACGTGAAGTCATGTGACCGTGCTATAGTTCATTTATAGCCCAACATTAGCCGCCTTTAGCTTAGCGGTGGTGACGTGAAGTCATGTGACCGTGCTGTAGTTCCTTTATAGCCCAACATTAGCCGCCTTTAGCTTAGCAGTGGAGACGTGAAGTCATGTGACCGTGCTCTAGTTCCTTTATAGCCCAACATTAGCCACCTTTAGCTTAGCGGTGGTGACGTGAAGTCATGTGACAGTGCTGTAATTCCTTTATAGCCCAATATTAGCCGCCTTTAGCTTAGTGGTGGTGACGTGAAGTCATGTGACCGTGCAGTAGTCCCTTTACAGCCCAACATTAGCCTTTAGCTTAGCGGTGGTGACGTGAAGTTATGTGACAGTGCTGTAATTCCTTTATAGCCAAACATTAGCCTCCTTTCGCTTAGCGGTGGGGACCTGAAGTCATGTGACCGTGCTGTAGTTCCTTTATTGCACAACATTAGCCTTTAGCTTAGCGGTGGTGACGTGAAGTCATGTGACCGTGCTGTAGTTCCTTAATAGCCCAACATTAGCCTTTAGCTTAGCGGTGGTGACGTGAAGTCATGTGACCGTGCTGTAGTTCCTTAATAGCCCAACATTAGCCTCCTTTAGCTTAGCGGTGGTGACGTGAAGTCATGTGACCGTGCTGTAGTTCCTTAATAGCCCAACATTAGCCTTTAGCTTAGCGGTGGTGACGTGAAGTCATGTGACCGTGCTGTAGTTCCTTAATAGCCCAACATTAGCCTCCTTTAGCTTAGCGGTGGTGACGTGAAGTCATGTGACCGTGCTGTGGTTCCTTTATAGCCTACAGTTAGCTTTTTTCAGAAATATGAAAGTGGTGCTAATATGTTGAGATTATCCTGCTGATCTAAACTTTAAGTATCATAAACGTTTGTTTCACATAGATTATTTTCTGCAATTATCCAAAACCACATGGAGAAAGCCCATTGGACCAGGGAGATGCTGCCTTCAGGGACCAACACAAAAGTACTACATCCTGCAGCTCTGTTACACATTTAAACAAACTAATATAAAATCTGAGCTGATGATGAGTAATGATTAAGGTGGGTCTGTCTAATCCCTGGTCTTTGACCTGTTTCTGGGATCTGTCTAATTCCTGCTGATGTCGCAGTCCTCCATCAGGTACTGACAGCAGTCTGTCCTCTGATTGGCTCACATATCTCAGAGGTTAACTGTCCAATGAAAAGCTGTTACCTTTCCTTTACATCACTTCCTGTGGCGGGACGTCCTCTCTGGCTAGACTAGCCGACTACTCTGCACAAAGCCTAGAGGACACAGACAGAGAGACATGTAGAGAGAGAGACAGGTAGAGAGACAGATACATAAGGAAAGACAGAGAGACAGACAGGTAGATATGTTAGAAATCGTAGAGTGAGACAGACATCTGCCTGCAGTCTCACTGCTGAATTCATGGGTATGGATAATGAAGCTTCATGGGTTTAACACCAAAGATAAGGAGGGTTTAATATTTTATACATGAGCACAAGACAGGTAGAACCGGAGGACCGACTGAGATGAGATTCAGATAGGGTTCAAGTCATTATTCTCCATCTTAATTAATTAATTAATTAAACGCCTGCCTCATGTACCAGCAGTAGAACAGGAAGTCCCGCCACCTGCTTGAAATGATTGGCTGCCTCTGTCTGACACTGACGGTGTGGGTGGGGCTTAACTGTGAGAGGTGTTACCAGAAGGGCTGCTGCTGTAACCATGGCAATATACGTGATGACATTCAGAGGTCATGTAGAGGTCCGTTTAAGGTTTCAGGTTCATTTAAAGGTCACGTAGGGATCATATTAAGGTCATATTAAGATAATACAGGTTATATTAAGGTCATATTAAGGTAATACAGGTCATATTAAGGTGGTATTAAGGTCATATGTATGTCATGGCACCTTTGGCACTGCTTTCCAGGAAGACTTTGATGTAGGAGGTGGGGACATATCCCTCCTCCTCCAGGTTCCTCCGTACTCTTGTCCAGCCGTCACCTTTGTCTTCTTCCACAACAGAAAGTAGTTCCCCCTCCACCATCGACAGAGTGCCTTCATTCTGACCTGCAGCAGATCAATCACAGCATGAATACAGACACGACGGGAAGAAAGCTTTTAGTTGTGCAGCTCCACTAACTTGGAACAGTCTGCAAAAATGTTTAAAACTGAGCACTTTGGTTCCCCTGCATCATTTTAAAACTCGGCTAGGTGACATGCTGTTTGATACTCATGGTACCTGTCACTGTAAATAGAGTTTGTAAACTGTACCCTGCACATTATGTTGTTTGTCATCCTTATTGTTGTTTTGTTGTTTGTATGTTACATTTGTAACTAATGTCCTGCAGGTCACCCTTGAAAAAGAGATCTTTTGATCTCAAGGGGCTTCACCTGGTTAAATAAAGGCTACAAACAAACGACATGACCCAGGTATAGTGTGTTAATGACCCGGGTACAGTGTGTTAATGACCTGGGTCGTCTTCTGTCCCTAACTTTTCTCGTTTCTTTCTGACTTTTTGTTCCTGACGACATGTCCTGACTCACTCTTGGGTCTCAGAACAAAAGTCCTATACCCTACCGGGGCATCAGTGGTCTCCAGACCCTGTGTACCTGCACAGCTCCTGTACTGAGGCTAGTTCTGATCTACTGTACCTTGAAACGGGTAGAGGGACTTGCAGGTGCCGATGCTCGGTAATGGTTCTTCATCATCGAAGTCATCATCAAACTCGGAGCTGCGGGACTTGAAGTGAAGCTCAGCGCTGTTGTCTTCAGTGTAGCTGCCGTCCGGACTGAGAACAGAGAAACAAACAGTTTAAGATTTTAAACTTTTTTTGGGCCATGGACCGGTTTCATGTTAGACAATATTTTCACGGGCCGGCATTCAAGAGGTCGAGGGATAAATATGAAAAAATAAAATGATATGACCGGCATAAAAAAAAATACGAGGTGCAGAAGGTGTGGGAGCCCTGAGCTTGAGGTTCTGCAACAAGCTGGTCCAATCTAGGGCTAATGGAGACAATGACACCTGGAGTGTGTCTCTTATGTCCAGTCCACGTTGGAAATTTAAGCAGGGTCCTTCCTGGCGACCTCAGGATCGCCTGTCCTGCAGAGGGTTGTCTGAAACACACTTTAAGGCCACCTGCTGCTAGCTTCCTTTATGAAGCATCACATGACTGAGACAGATGTATCTTCTCACTTTTCAAAATACAACATCTTTCATTATTTATTCAATCTTTCTGTTCGGCCCGGTACCAAATGACCACCGGACCAGTACCAGTCTGTGGACCGGTGGTTGGGGACAACTGGACTGCATTGACATTCCTGGAAAAGGGAACTGACATAAAATAAAAAAGTTGAATCAAGAACTAAACTCTGTTATTAGATCAGTATTTTTCTTATATGACAATTATTGCTAAATCTCGAAGGTCTTTCCCAGCAAGGGACAGATAATGATGACTTTTTATTACGAACATCAAATGTCCTGTTTGGGTTGCCGTACATAGCTGTCCAACATGTCGGACAACTTGCACTACATATCGGGCAGAGGTCACATTAACCGAATATTTTCAGTCTATGACGGATTTATTTTAACAATGACGGAAATATCTGAAAGCAGTCAGATTAAAACAAACTCGGAACAGCGCCAAAGCTTCCACGCAGCGAGGCTCCGGTGTTATAACGTGTTATACATGCCCGCCAAAAAGGAATGATAAAGGGAGGTGTGTGGCGCAGTGGATAGAGCCTTGGTGTTGGGATCAGGGGGTCACAGGTTCAAACCCCACTGCAGTCAGCATGTCTTTGTGTCCCTGGGCAAGATACTTCACCCCAAATTGCTCCTGTGGGGATTGCCCTCAGTATTGAGTATGTACGTCGCTTTGGATAAAAGGGTCTAACAAGTAACATGTAATGTAATACCGTTTCCAACCCTAACTTTGCCGTACAATTCATTGAACTGTCTGTGAGTTTTTGCTTTACGCTGTGTGCACTCCAGCGAGGTGCAGTGGGCATAATACCGGCGCTAACAGTTCACCTGTCTGTCTGTCTGTCTGTCTGTCTGTCTGTCTGTCTGTCTGTCTGTCTGTCTGTCTGTCTGTCTGTCTGTCTGTCTGTCTGTCTGTCTGTCTGTCTGTCTGTCTGTCTGTCTGTC